GGAGGGGGGGTGGGGTGGGTGGCTGAGGGATCCCTCACTAAGCAGGGGTTCCAGTAAGGCAAGGCTGCATTTAACAACTGGGCTGTAACAATTAAAAAAAAAAAAAGTCATGATTAACATTAGCATAAATTAGATGAAGCACATGTTGTACAAATTATCAGAGGAAAGAGACTTACAAGATCTGGCATAACCTCTTCTTCACAAAAAAAAAACAAACCCAAAAGGAAGCCATGATCTACATTCCAGTAAAGGGTAGATAATCTTATACACGTTCATGTATAAATGGATGCATATTCAGTTGTATATTTTATTGTTTTTTATTCAGCTAAACCTATAAAAGGAACAGTAATAAATAAGTTGAAACTCAAGCATTCAATTGTTCTATCTGATTGCAGGAGCGTCCCTGTTTTATAAACTGTCCTGAACATACTTTCACTTTGACTGCAAAGGAAAAAAAACAAAGTAGCAAACCAGGGAAAGCTATTGTCCTACCTCTCACAATGCAAGAATCTCTCAGTTATCAGTCTCATGGATGCTCACAAGGTACAGGAAGTCCTTTGGACTTAAAACCTCCACACATTTCCACTGAGTTCGCAGCGCAGCAGCTATCCTGTCATGAGAACTGTTGGTTGTAACGAACTATGCACCTAAGGAACAGTATACCATCATAGCATACATACAGTACAATCAAGACTGAATTAGAAAAATACAGGTACAAAATGATTACATTCAAGAAGACAGTACTAGCACAAAAGGGTATTATAGTCATTTAGGTAACTAATATAGGAACTTTATAGAAGCATTTTCTAGATAGAAAAAGTGAGGGGATGGGGGAATGACAGTATTATGGCTGTTTGGTAGATGTGTCGATTTGTTATTGACTGGATTCTCGCATATATAATAGTTAAAATGCATAATTTCCATAGAGTGGGTAAAAATTATATATTTTCTTCAAAGACCATGATCATTTTGGTTTGGGTCATAAGGTGCAAATACTGTATATTAAAAGAGGCATTAAGTGGTGCCCTTTTGTTGCACTTCATTCCAACTTCTGGGCTCAAACACCAAGGAAATCCCATTAGATACACAGGATGAATTGTGCTGATAGTTACCTGAAGATATAGTTACGCCTAGAAAATGCAGTGCAACTGTTCTAATAGCTTTCTTTTCTCTTTTTTTTAAAACAGGATTTTCATTTGAATCTACCTTTTCCTTTTCTTTGGCAAATGTCAATAAACTCACTTGCTATAAGCAAATATATCTCTGTTTTGGGGGAAGACAATTTCTTTGTCTTTGCAAAGAACCACACTGATGTCCACCAGTGAAAGAACTATACAGTTTACTGCCTGGATGACATCATCCTTGATGTAACTTCTCTCATATCTGAAAAAATATATATACTGTTTATTATTCAGATTATCGTAAAGTATACTGTGGTTCCCCTAAGCTTAACTGGGAAACATTTGCAGTTAGTTTGTTAGATTTAAAGGACAAATTTAGAGAAGAATTATAGATTTGTTGCATGTACTGCTCTATTTGCACACAAGGGCCTACATAAGCCAAACATTATTACCATGTAACAATGCCTTGATTTAGGAAAAATATTATTTCAAGACGCGCGAGTTCTCTAAGACCCATTCATTTCTTATTTGTCTGTCCTGTCAAGTGTCCAAAAGCACTCTGAACACATCTTAACACATATCCAAGAAATATTGATGCAGTCGCAGTCAAATACACACCTCCAGAGGTGAAAAGGCAAGCTCATTGTCAAGAGATGGTGCATTTTTATCTCAGTGCCTGTTTTTGCTTAGCAGATAAGCATTGATGCATTCATCACCTATGAGCTTGATCTTTCTAGACAACATTCTTGATCCAGTAAACTTGACCTCAGGAAAAAAAGTTCATAAAGACGACCTAGTTAAAAGAACATTGTAAAAGCACACACTTTAACAGAAGAATGATCAAATAGAAAACAAAGAGCTATTAAACATATAGATGTGACTGAATCTAAAATGTGATAAATTAAGTATTGGTCTACACAGAGGAACAAAGGCTGCTGGGTAAGGAGGTGAGGGGTATTGCTGGGGAGTCTGTGTAGCTCTCAGTTAACCTCCATTAGCCTGGAGCTCCTTACCCGGAGCAGCCCGGGTTCAAAACCAGCCCGGGCCCTTTGCCCCCCTCCCCCCACCTCTCTCTCGCTCTCTCTCTCTCTCTCTCTGTCTCTCTCTGGGAAGAAAACAAACCTGCAGCTGAACTGCATCAATTCTTACTTTTCCCTCACTGCTACAGTTGATAAACTGTAAACAAAAGTATGGCCAAGACAGAGGCATGGAAATGGAATGATTCTGACCAAACAATACCAGAACAAAGCTAAAATAAAGAACACAAAGTCGCATCTAAATATAAATACTTCTAAAAAAAAAAAAAAAGATAAAAATAAATCAACACACTGATTACATGTGACCTCTGAGTAGACCATTACTTGGCAATAAAATCTCAAAAGGCCGATAGGAAACAAATGGGGAAATTATTATCTAATGCCTTGTCTCCATTAGCACTGTTAGGAACAATAGCATAGTGATCCCACACATTAAATCAATATTTTGTTTTTCTATCAGAAAAAAGCAGAATATTTTCAATGATTTCTGTATTGTGTTTTTTTCCAAATTGCTCATTTTATGAGACATGTAGATAAAAAAAATTCATAAAACATTTAGACTGACAAACTCCTGATCTTCCTCAGGCCCGGAGGACATTAAAGACACTGTTGAGAGGCCGTGGTGTAAGACCACTGTGACTGGTGGAGACAAGGCATTTTATTACCCTTCCGAGAGCAACTCAAACTTCGGCTACAAATTAGTGCAGTGTTTACGTAATAAACAAAAATAAAAACACTTTTCTGTGAAATAAGATGCACACAAGGAATTAACCTCTCTAATTTGCTACGCAAACTGCAATAAGATCAAGTATTGACAAAAAACTGCATTTCACTATTCAAAAATGTTTACACTGACTTCAGGACTGTGATGGCATTGAGCAAGAAGCTGGTTGAGGGCTTTGTGGTGGCAAAGCAGGTTTAGGAGGGAGGGTTAAGGCTATATTTGAATCACTTTCACACAACATCCCCATCACGAGAGGCAGTTTTTAAGCCGACCTACTGTCTCATAAGCTTGACGGGGACATTGAACCTACTACTTAAGGATAAACAGGACAAACACCCTCAGCTATTAGTCAACTCTAGTTCAGATGCAAGGGTCTGCACAGGTCTACTCTTACACATTCAGTCTAACATGATTATTTGCAGCTACCACATACTGTTTTACAGTAGCATCATCTTAACATACACATCAAATACTCAACCATGATTTCTTCATAGTTTGAGTACACCACATCAGTGTACCGCAGGGAAACACTAAGCAAGTAGTTGGCAATGGAAGTCTATCCATCATGATCATTTACCCTGGTTAAAGTTCTTTTGGGTTGAAGCTGGAAGGAATAGACGGGATAAGAGCTAGTCAAATACAGAGGTATTCTACCAGAGGTGGAGGGAACTCTTCAGTAGGCGTGTGTGAGGTAAAAAGGTAACAGAAAGCTGTGTTCGTCTAGAAAACGAATGCAGTGTTGGGTTTTTTTGCCCTACCTAAAATGCTATTTTTAAATCGCAAGACCTTAAAAATGGCCTCTATTTGACAAAACGGTGTACAATAAACCCATGACAACCATCTCTATAAGGGAAGCCATGCACTGGGGGGGGGGGGG